TCTTAATTATCAAGGATTTTTTCGTAGATTTCTCGTCTTTACAGGAACCACTTCATTAACAGAATTTGATATTGAAGATTGATCGTACTTTCAACAACTTAATGCTGTATGTTTTTTTGGAACTTCATGAGCAGATAAATTTACTTTTGGTTGGACATTTTTTAAGATCCTTTTAATTTTTCGTTAAGATCCTTAGATGATGTCAAATCACCCTTTAACTTAATTTGTCTCTCATTTTGCTAGATACAACTGAGAAATATGTACTAACATTGGCACTAACTAGCTCTCAGCATATATCAGTGGTATCCGGCATAGAAATTAATGAAATTAATAAATGTTATACGTGGAATTTCATTTAGCAACCTTATATTCCGTTTATTATGCTGTTTCTCACAGATCTTTATGTAGAATTTTTTGACATGGATGCATATAATTTAAAGAAAATGTAGATAAGAAACATTTTGTTAAACAATTTATCCGGAGATTGATTTATTTACTAAAAATGTATTTCATCAATAGACATGGCACGAATAAAAAGGTTGAGGCATGGTATTTGATTTATATTTCTCGTCAGTATTCCTAGTTATAACCTAATTGTTAGCATAGACGTTCTGCACTATATCATTTATTAAATTTCAGTGTCAAAATTTGACGAATAACACGAAGAAAATATAAACTTCTCAAATATTAGCAGTGCCAAGGACGACAACTTATCCATTGGTGTAATGAGTGCCAAGAAAGTAATGTTTTGTTCTCATCCTTGGCTTCCACGAATAACAAGTGTTTTTGAGTAGCGATGGAAAATTATAAGTTCTTTTTGACTTGAAATTTATATAAAAATGATGTCATTTCAGGGTCATTTGCTAAAACTGTTTTTGAGGGCAATATGGATTTTTAATTGATTCAATTTTGATGTTGAATCACTAATATGAATATATCTAGAATGTTTTTTTTTCCGAGTGAATGAGAAATAAAAATTGGAAAATAATCTTAATATACAAATCCGTCGAATGACATTTCCGCCATTCTTTCGCTGGGACTGTAGCGAAAAGAAATCACATAAAATTACAATATAAAAAATAAAAATAACTTCCTATTATTTATTAATCATTAATAATTTTTAATCAAATAATTTAATTAAATTTAATATTACAAATTAAGCAGTAAATTAAATGGAACAAACATTAAATTTGTATTAAAAATAAAAATAAAAATAAAAATTGATTATTAAAGAGAATTATAATTTGACAAATAACAAATGTGTATTACCTTCTTTCTTAGCATCCGTAATGTGAAATTGAAAAAAATAAATTTTATTTCAACCTTAACGCAGTATGTCAGGGAGCCATTCAAAATCCCGAAGATCAAAATCCCGAACAATCATAATCCAGAATGACCATAATCCCGAATATTATTTTTATTAAATTAAGTATATTTTAAAGAGTTCTACTTTTTAAAATATTTTTTTTTTGCCGACCATCGATAAAAATGGATGAAAATTGCGAAGTTTAAAAATCATTAATATAATTTTAATAATGTTGTGCAATTAGCAAATTATTATATTATAATTTTAAAATTATGTTATTCGGGAGGTTTATGTCCATTCGGGATTATGATCGTTCGGGATTATGATCATTCGGGATTTTGATCTTCGGGATTATGATGAGATTTTCAGTGATGTCAATGAATTTGTAATTCGAGGATTCTTAATACTTTTTCTTTTTAATTCACCAAATAATTGGGAACGTCCTGATGTAAATGTTATTGTTGCTCGATTAAGTCAGCTTATTGATCTTGGATTTCAATTAACTTCTAATGACATAGAAAATGTACTTTTTTTATTTGAACATAGAATAAATGAAATTGGAGGACTTTTGATGAATTCTTTTCAAATAATTCGCAAAGAATTAAAATCAGATATTGCACGTTCTTGTCTAATTCAAACAATTAAACCGGGGAGAAATTTCAAGAAAACCGATTTATTAGAATTTTTAATCAACCTGAAGAAGCTCTGAAAAATGCATTAGATTATTATAAAGTTGGATTTAAATTGAATGCAAAATCAATTAAAACAACAAAATAAAGTTAGATCATTAACTGTTCATTCAAATCTTTATTATTGGATACTTAAAAATTATGGTTCGGATTCTGAGATTACACAAAATGTTTTGAGGGTTTTGAGGATATATTTGAATCACGAATTTGGGTTGATTTAATTTCACGAGAAATTCCTAAAAGGAAAGTTTCGGGGCATCTTACAACTTTTGCTTTTGATTCGATTTGCTCCATTTATCTTGAGTTCTGTAATGAAAAGGTTTCAATAAAAGAGAACTGTATGCAATTTCTTCAATATTTGCAACAGATTAATAACGACAAAATAATTATTCCATTTTTTTAAAAGAATAGCTAATGGATATAGCTTACAAATTGAGAAAGAATTACTGTCAACCATATGAGCGTTAAAAAATTAATAAAAAATTGATTATGCAAATAAGATTTTTTTTTAATGAATACTAGAAATCAATAAGTAATAATTAAATAGCTGCAAATTATAATTTATTTCACAAATACAAATAATAATAATTATTTCTTTTTATAAAATTTTTTTCCAGTTAATCCGAATTGTAATACAAAGTGCTGTCACATGGGTTTGATGGGTTTGATACGAAATCCCGAAGATCAAAATCCCGAAGGGTCATAATCCCGAAGTCATAATCCCGAAAGATAATAACCAATTTCTTTCCATAGGGATACTAAATCAGGATTAATTAGTAGTGCTCTAGCCACTATATTTAGTTGACGGCTGTTCTCATATCCCTCTTTTGGAGGGAATTCTTCATGATTCCTATCTTTTATTAATTGTATATATTCCACCGTATCTTCATAAGTTGGCTTTGGACATGGAGGGAAGGGGATGAATCTTTTTTTAACTATTAAATCTTTAATAGAATCAAGGTTTTGACAAAGTTTTTGAGAAGCAAGGTTAATAGGTAGAGGAGAGGTCCAGCTGATAAGAAATGAAATAATTCCATGTCATTCCCTTTCATTATGAGCTCATTATCATTCATAAAATTACATCCTTCAGTAATTAATTTAGTGAATATCGTTAAAGATATATTACTTCCCCAGAGTGAATTTATTTTATTTTCCTTTGAAGAGTACGGAGTCTATCAAACTCGATTTGATCTACATTATATTCCAAATTTAATTTTATAAGTTGCTCATCATAAGTACCGAAATGCATTAATAACCGTTGTATAAAATATCTGGAGAGT